GGTGAATTGTATAATATCTGTAGAACTACCAGGTCCTACAAAAGACAAAAAGCTTGATGATACTGTGAAAACTCAAATGACCTATGGTCCCTTTGGTGACTGGAACGGAAATCTTTCCTGTATGGTTCATAACAAGTGCCCCAAGCATTATCCAAAAGGTTTCTTAAAGGAAACACAAATGGGAGAAGATGGTTATCATTTTTTATAGAAGAAAGCCGGATAATGTCGGATTTGAGTCAGTAATTACATCAGAACAAAATCCATTTGAAACTGACAACATGTATAATTCCTATGTTGTAGTGCCCTCCCTCTAAAGAGTCTATGTTGGACTCTTCCGCCTACTATAATATTAGTAGGAGAGTAGGCCTTGAGGTAACAATCTAACAGATTTGTTCGCACTGTTCTGTCGAACTCTCTGTCTTTGGCAGAGAGGAACCCGTACGAGGTTTGCCACAGGACAAAGTTTCGTCCGAGGAGGTAGACAGACCCTGAATCCGTTTATACGGGTTCTAAGGGAATATTTTTGGCCTAGCCTACGGGATCGTAGAACCCACGGTAAACTCGGCCTTGTGCCACATACATCCTTCGTGGTGGGGCTGTTAAATATTAACAGTGGAACAGATCTGTTCGCACTGTGCTGTCGAACTCTCTCTCTCTTGAGCTGATAGGAACCTGGACGAGGCTTTACTGAATGTCAAACTTTCGTCCGGGGAGGTAGACAGGCCCTGAACCCGTTTATGCGGGTTTGAAAGGAATATTTTTGGCCGAGCCTACGTGCTCGGAGAATCCACGGTAATCGCGGCATTGTGCCACATACATTACTCGTGGAGGCGGGGGGTCTGTTAAATATTAACAGTCAAATAGATTGAACGCTGGTCAACTGACTCACACTGTATTTACTTTTTAATATATGATATATCTGTAACACTTGTTTTGTTATTTCTTAAACCATTTACTAGGTCAGAACATCATACATTCCCCTTCTCTTGAAAACCTTTGATGCTTACATCAATGTTGAATTCTGTAACTCTGTAAAATCAATTAAATATATTTGCAAATATTTTAACAAAGAGTCAGATGCAGCAATTTTTGCTTTACAAGAAACAAACAATGCGAGTGAAAATAGATATGTACCAGCAATTTCGATACATTAGCAGCAATTTGAAAGACACTTAGATTTCCCATTTATGAGCGATATCCAACAGTTCAGCCACTAGATGTTGATTTAGAAAATGGACAAAGGGTTTATTTCTCTGAGGCAAATGCAGCTAAGCAAATCTCCAAGAGAGACTACATTTACAACTTCCTTCAAGCTTTGTGCAACAGATCCCTTTGCTAAGACAATCTTTTATCATCATCTTCCATCATATTATACCTAGCAAAATTGCAGCTGGAACAAACTGAGCAGGGTTAAACCAGTAGAAGGATTTTCAGACGTCAAATTTGATAGTGCACATGCATAAAGAAAAAAAACATTTATTCAGGAACTGAACCCTTTATTTTGCTCACTGGTGTAGACTGTTCTAGTTCCACTTGCCATGTCTAATGGATGTCAGTTACCAGTTATCTCCTGCTTAATTCTATTCTTCAAGTTCTCCACCGCCTTAACCAGGTATTGAACTCACACTCTTTGGGTGCTGTCACTGGATCTAACCAACGCCTTTATCTATGCTATGTGTCCTCGAGGAAATAAAGGGTTCAGTTCGACATTCCAACCAACTGAAGAAGGGCGGAGCGTACAACGGCCGAATCGTTGTAATAAATATGGCGACAAAAATGAGGACAATAGTCTGAATAATGTAAATAGTGTACATAATACCTCATCTCAGAAATATAGACAAATATTAGGAGCATTAATGTCCATGAGATATACATATATGGGCGAGCTGAGAAATGTTACTATTCGTTCTTTCAACTCCATAGCATCATCGCGTTTAAGAATTGTGCACATGCGCATTGGTGCTTTCATTTTCGTAATGAATGACCCGGCAGCCATTTTCGTGTCAAAGGAGTGTGCCATTTCGTATTTGGTCAGTAGTACACGGTGACGGAGAATTCATCAGTCTTCGAAGAACGGGGAACAGACGAGAGAGTATGTTCTCGGCTGGATAATGATAATGTTAACGGTGGCCTGCGCCGTCCCTTTAAAAGGGAAGCATTTAGCATTCGTCGAGTGAACAGTTATAGTTAGTATAACCCCGCGACAGCACCCCTCTCGTTGCGCTAAAGAGAGAAGAGTCGGCGTGGAATATCGACGCCTGTGCGACGTTGGGCGAGGGGTCCGGGTAATTTTGATCATTAAACTAAAGAGTATTGAACTGCTGCGTGATATCTGTCCTCCTTTACGGAAGCAAATGTTGGACAATCTCCTCAAAGATGAAGAAGAGACTCGAGGCAACTAGACTCTAGTTCTACAGAAGGATGCTAAGGATACCATGGACAGAACATGTGAGAAACGATTAGGATGCAAACAAAGAGGAAACATAATTAACATCAGGAAGAGGCAGCTGAAATTTCTGGGACACGTAACGAGAAAGGATGGCTTGGAAAATCTGATACTCACAGGACGGATTAAGAGAAAAAGGGACATGGGAAAGCAACGCGTCAAATACTTAATAGGCTTAAACAAGTGGATGGCAGAACAGGGTCTGGAAGAAATAAAAAAAAAAAAACAAAACACTACCAGGGACAATTGCCTACGTCCTGAAGGGGACAGGAAGACATGCGCTTTGAAGGAGAGCCATTGACCGTTCGGAGATGGTGGCAAACAAATAACCCTACGTCCTGAAGGGACACGGCACGTATATAAAGACATTTATTTATTTATAGATACAAAGTATTTAAGACATGCGCTTTGATAAAAGATTAGAGACGTGCTGAATGTTAAAATTTTCATAGAAAATATTCGTTCTTTGACATCGAACCTGCATCCCGCCACCGTTGCGGAGATGTGTGGCAACAAATAACCTTTTCGGTAAGGTGTCTAGTGTATAAACTTCAATCTTCCAAAGGGAGGTGAACACATCCACACACACGTATATATATATATATGTGTGTGTGTGTGTGTGAAAATATAAATTCATTTCTTAATATAGTCTTATATAAATATATATATATATATGTGTGTGTGTGTGTGTGAAAAATATAAATTCCATAGTCCTAATAAATAGTTTAAATGCCCTACAAAAAAAGAGAACCCTTTATGAAGTCGTCAAAAAACAAATGTTAGCGACTTACGACAGTTTTTATATACACAAAACCCTTTCAGAAAAAATAAAAGAAAAAATAAATAAATCTCCATAGACACTTAACCAGACTAGACGATGTCATCTTCCGCTTTAAATTTAAACACCCCAACCTTACCCTGACGACATCTTTGAATGTAACTGAGATATTGGTACAAATTATTAACACCTTACGCCCCTTTTCTTTAAACAATTGCTCTAGCCGTTACCATAGTAATTTTGATTTCAATAATGAATATGCTTATAAATATGCGTAAATTTCAGAAATAAGTTATTCAAAAAAAAAAAAATTCGCTTGAAGATGGAACAGAACTTAGTACTTTAATTCAATTTAATTCAAATAATTATATTGAAATTTTCGGTTCTTGTTTTGAAACATGAGAACTCTTATGTAGCGTGTTGGAATCATATCTTTAAATAAATAATTATATATATATATATATATATATATATATATATATATATATATATATATAACGTGATATGTTAAGGCCGAACATCACTTGCGGTTATTTGATGGCGATGAACCTCCCTCGCGGTGATTGGATGGTGGGAAACATCCTTCAGGGTGATATGTTAGGGATGAACATCACTGGCGGTGATTTTATTGAGGGCGGTGAACATTCCTCATGGTGATTCGATCATCTGAACCCCATATAGTCAAACTAGATTTACACTTACATATATAAAGCAATATATGCAGTTTTTCAAGTTCGCTTGGAATTCGCTAATTTCTTGAAAGTTCCAATGGACGCGTGGCTTCTCCTTGAATTCGGAACGCTACAAATTACACTAACGTTGGCTTAAATAGTCGAATGAACGCGAAACCTGATTAACAAATCAAAAACAAACAACACAAGTAAAAATGCCAGAATTAATTTCATCTTTTTTCCCTATGAAATTCTCTGATGAAGCTTTAATAAAAGCGAAACATGTCAGACTGATAAACGTTTTCTATTTGTTCTTGATCTTACAACTAGCCGAATTACACTCGGCTTGCTGCATGTCACACATATTTTTTTTTTAAGAAAATGATGATTAATTTTAAATCATTGTTATAATTTGTAGAGAAAAATGTTGCATCTCAATATTACTCAATGACCTTACCGATGTGACCACCATCTTCTGGCTTTCTTCTTCCATATTTTGGATAGGAGACATTGCCTTGATCAAATTGTAATTTAATTTAAATCAAAGGAAAACAGATTTCAGTGGTGGGGGTGCTTCCAGGGGACCTCTTTGATTAAAATGAAGTAGACTTATCAAAGTACCATAGGAGACATTCCATTGTTTAAATTGAAATTCAATTTATATCAAAGGGGGGAAAACACAGTGGATATTGTCCCTCTCGGGGACCCTCTTTGGGCAAAGTGAAATATACTTAAGAAAGTATCCTGGGTAATGTAGTTTCAGAATATATATGGTTATGGAGCGGGGGGTCTATCTCCAAAACTCTAGGAGGTGTTCGATAACAAAGAGACAGATAGAAGCTACAATTTTTATGTATAGATTCTGTCAGATTCCGATCCATATTTGATGTGTATTTAATTCCAACTGATCAACGTATGTAAAACATTTTTTTTAAATATTATAAAAGTAGATCATAACTGATATTCTGTGTTGCCATCCCAAGGAGTCAGGGACACACTTTTCCTCGGGGAGAAACGTATATGCGCGGATTTGATGGGATTGAACGTCCCTCATGGGGATATGATGGGCGTCAAAATCCATCGTTAAGATTTGATGGCGGTGAACCTACCTCCCGGTGATTTGATGGCGGTGAACGTTCATCAAACTGATTTCATAGCTGAGAACGACCTTCGCGGTGATTTTATGGCGGTGAGCCTCCTTCACTGTGATATGATGGGAATGAATATCCCTCGCGCTGATTGATGGCGATGAACCTCCATCGCGGTGATTTGATGGCGGTGAGCCTCCTTCACTATGATATGATGGGAGCGAATATCCCTCGCGCTGAGTGATGGCGATGAACCTCCATCGCAAAGATTTGATGGCGGTGAGCCTCCTTCACTGTGATATGATGGGAGTGAATATCCCTCGCGCTGAGTGATGGCGATGAACCTCCCCAGCGGTGATTTGATGGCGGTGAGCCTCCTTCACTGTGATATGATGGGAGTGAATATCCCTCGCGCTGATTGATGGCGATGAACCTCCCCAGCGGTGATTTGATGGTGGTGAACCTCCTTCACTGTGATATGATGGGAGTGAATATCCCTCGCGCTGATTGATAGGGATGAACCTCCCCAGCGCTGATTTGATGGCGGTGAGACTCCTTCACTGTGATATGATGGGAGTGAATATCCCTCGCGCTGATTGATGGCGATGAACCTCCGCAGCGGTGATTTGATGGCGGTTAGCCTCCTTCACTGTGATATGATGTGAGTGAATATCCCTCGCGCTGATTAATGGGGATGAACCTCCCCAGCGCTGATTTGATGGCGGTGAGCCTCCTTCACTGTGATATGATGGGGTGAATATCCCTCGCGCTGATTGATGGCGGTGAATATCCCTCGCGCTGATTTGATGGTGGTGAACCTCCTTCACAGCGGTGAATATTCGCGCTGATGGTGGCGATGAACCTCACCAGCAGTGATTTGATGGCGGTGAGCATCCTTCACTGTGATATGATGGGGTGAATATCCCTCGCGCTGATTGATGGCGATGAACCTCCCCAGCAGTGATTTGATGGTGGTGAACCTCCTTCACTGTGATATGATGGGAGTGAATATCCCTCGCGCTGATTGATGGCGGTGAACCTCCCCAGCGGTGATTTGATGGTGGTGAACCTCCTTCACTGTGATATGATGGGAGTGAATATCCCTCGCGCTGATTGATGGCGATGAACCTCCCCAGCGGAAATTTGATGGTGGTGAACCTCCCCATCGGTGATTTGATGGTGGTGAACCTGCTTCACTGTGATATGATGGCGATGAACCTCACCAGCGGTGATTTGATGGCGGTGAGCCTCCTTCAATGTGATATGATGGAAGTGAACATCCCTCGCGCTGATTGATGGGGATGAACCTCCCCAGCGCTGATTTGATGGCGGTGAGCCTCCTTCACTGTGATATGATGGGAGTGAATATCCCTCGCGCTGATTGATGGCGATGAACCTCCCCAGCGGTGATTTGATGGCGGTGAGCCTCCTTCACTGTGATATGATGGGAGTGAACGTCCATCACACTGATTGATGGCGATGAACCTCCCCAGCGGTGAACCTGCTATGCTGTGATTTGATGGCAGTGAACGTCCATCACACTGATTTCATAGCTGAGAACGTGCCTCGCGGTGATTTGATGGTGGAGAACCTCCATCGGAATGATTTGATGGTGGCGAACCTCTTTCGTGGTTATGCGATGGCTGATATGGCGGTGAACCTCCCTCGCACTGATTTCTTAGCGGGACTGGAGGCAGTGAACCTTCCTTGCAGTTTTGATGGTGGTGGACCTCCATCACAGTGGGTTGATGACGGTGTACCTCCATCGTTATGATTGATGGCGGTGAACCTCCATCATGGTGATTTGATGGCGGTAAACCTCCCTCGTGGGGACTGGTGGCAGTGAGCCTTCCTTGCAGTGTTTTGATGGTGGTTGACCTCCTTTGCAGTCATTTGAAGGCGGTGAACCTCCATCACAGTGGGTTGATGACGGTGTACCTCCATCGTTATGATTAATGGCGGTGAACCTCCATCATGGTGATTTGATGGCGGTAAACCTCCCTCGTGGGGACTGGTGGCAGTGAGCCTTCTTTGCAGTGTTTTGATGGCGCTGGACCTCCCTTGCAGTCATTTGAAGGTGGTGAACCTCCCTTGCTGTGATTAATGTCAGTGAACCTCCATTGTGGTGATTCGATGGCGGTGAACCTCCCTCGCGGTGATTTGATAGCGGTTATTTGATGGCGGTGAACGTCCATCTCTGTGATTTGATGGCAGTTAACCTTCTCAAGTTTACCGTTTTTCAATTTTGACGGGGTTTCCTTCCTAACATTTTATTGAAGTAGTCTGAAACGTTAACACATTCACTGTATCATTATTTTCTGTAAAAGTTACACGTGTCATCAATTTTTGTTCTTGCTGCTGATGAAAACCTTGAAATATGGAGTCTGTTATTTGGTACAGGTCGATATTTGCAATTCTGCAGTGCCAGTTTAATAAATCCAACGAAGGAAAGTCCTCTTTAAGACCTACATGGTTCATCCATTCTTCTGAAGCCATTTTTCATCATTGATCTGAGAAAATGGATTTATATAGATTCCTTGGTTTCCTAGACACTGAATTGTGTACCTTTTCTTCGTCCATAACTTCACTGACTTTTCGGGTTACCTGGTGAATATTAATGTGAGTTCTTAAGCTTAAAAATTTTGAAGAAATAACAACAATTATATTTTTGTTTATAAATACTTGTTGCAAAATAAAATCCTTACATTTGCCTTGATATTCTTTAGTAGATTTAGAAAATTGATTAAGAAAAATACCAAAATTTTCTTTCGAATACTTTTTATTTTCCCAAGTAATTTTAATCTCATTTTTTCAATCTCAACTTTTCGAAAGAAAATTTTGGTATTTTTCTTAATCAATTTTCCATATCTACTAAAATTTTATTCCGCGACCTTGAAAGAATCCCTACGAAAACTAATCGACATGATATGCTTAAATTATTTAACCAAACCTGTTCGAATATATATATATATATATATATATATATATATATATATATATATTAAGAAATGGACAATGTCCGACAATTTATTTATTAAAGACATTTTTATGTTTAACGTTCTTTTTTATAGATACAAGTATTTAAGTAAATGCTCTGTTTCTCGGACATTCAGGCCGGTAAATGTTATCTAGTACTATTTTATTATAAACAGAGCATTTACTTAAATACTTGTATCTATAAAAAGAACGTTAAACATAAAATGTCTTTAATATATATATATATATATATATATATATATATATATATATATATATATATATATATATATATATTCAAACAGGCTTAGTTAAAACGAACAGTTAAAATGCTTTAAATACACAGAAACACATATACATACTCACAGACAACTTAACCCCCTGAAGATGGCCTGAGGTGAGATTGAAAGTACTTAGGAAAATAAAAACTATTCGAAAAAAGTTTGGTAGAATTTCTTAATCAATCTTATAAGTCTACCAAAAATTAATCCACGACCTTGAAAGCATCACAACGAAAACTACATGATATGCTTAAATTATTTGACTAAATCTGTGTGAGTGAAAATATGCTGCCTAAATATACACAATATATATATATATATATAGGGTGACCCCAAAAAACGGGAATTTTTGAAGTGCGTATTGCCAGACATGAGCAAGTGGCAACACTGCAAGACAGTGACCTTGAGCAAGTAAACATTTCGCCATTTAGAATTCAAGATGAAATTCACAGTATCCCAGCTGAGATGTGTCAGCAGTCAACGAGGAATCTCAACAGAAGATTTCAAGAATGCATTCGTACAGGAGGACGCTATCTACAGCACGTAATTTAAAAAAAAATGAAAATTCCATCATTGTTTCTTAAATGGCATGTTTTAAGGTTTCAATTACTATGAATAAAATATTTTTCTTCCATCACTCTTGGTTTTATTGGATTGTTAAAAAGTTCCCGATTTTTTGGGGGTCACCCTGTATATATATATATATATAAGTGTTCACATGCAAATACATATATCCTTCGGTGTAAGAAAAACTGTTCAGTTCTAAATACGAGAGTTATTAATTATATATTAATAAAACAAAAAAGAGTAGCTGAACATTATATTAACATGAAACTCCGAATCGTACTGGCGCCGTAAGGTACTATGTATGAATTTACTGTATACCTACTTTTGCATAGATGTAGATGCATATATATATATATATATATATATATATATATATATATATATATATATATATATGAAAAAAATATACTGAAAAAAACAAACAAAAAATCCTAATATGCGATTATGTTGTTTTAATGTTTAATGTCTACGTCGGACGTTTTCGGTCTAATAGACCATCTTCAGGACATATTCAGAAAAACATAATTTTAATAGACCATATACAATTCTACATGAAAAGACGATGAACATAAAAGCAATACCAATCCAAACAGATAACAGAAATCTTTTATAAGATCAGCGTTCCGTTTAAATATGATCACGTGGTCGTCACGTGGGCGATGTTGTGAAAACGTATTCCTAAAATTTGAGTATTTTGAATGAAAAACAAAAAGAATTTTATTTTTGATCTAAAACTTATATTTACGTTTGTCGAGCATTAATCTCGCTAGAAAAGTGGAAATATTAAAGAGGCCAGGTCTAGTGTTCACCGTGCGTGAGATGGATATTATGCCTGCTTTATAAATCCGCCTAAGATTTTTATTATGAAAATATTTTAAAATCTTCAGAGAATCAAAATCGAAATTATGATCAGCTTTAGTTGTGTGTACAACTAAAGCATTGTTTAAATTTCCGAGGCGAATATCTCGTTTATGTTCGTAAACACGAGATTTTACGGACCTATCATATATATATATGGATAGATAGATAGATAGATAGATAGATAGATAGATAGATAGATAGATAGATTAATAACATCCTACGATAGATAGATAGATAGATAGATAGATAGATAGATAACAGCCTACGATAGATAGATAGATAGATAGATAGATAGATAGATAGATAGATAACAGCCTACGATAGATAGATAGATAGATAGATAGATAGATAGATAGATAGATAACAGCCTACGATAGATAGATAGATAGATAGATAGATAGATAGATAGATAGATACCAGTATTTTCTACTTCCCATATATAGACACGTAAATAAAAACATTTGCACACATCTCTAGATTTGTTATTCAGACATTGTTGTCTGGAATAAAACAATTTATTCAAATGCAAATACAACATCCTTCACGATGTTCGGACACACTATTCGGACACACTAATATCTTCAACTTTATTCTGTCCTTCCTCTGAAATTTCGGCCATCAATCAAACTATTTTCCTTGCGGCACCGCAGACTGTGTTCTGCGATTCTTGATATCAAGGATCTGTCGCGAAGCCTGCAGCGACGTGTGTCAGTCTTGACTGGTGTGCAGAACTGTCTTGTAAGTCGTGACGATTCTTCGAGAAAATCTCCCCTTCTCAAAGACCGCTGACAAAGACGACTTATCCGAGCGGAAAGGAATGGCGTTTGTGTTTAGGGTCGGAATAAAGTAAAAGGGAATAAGCGAAGTACGCGTTGCTCCTCCCACGCCAGTCATACACAACTACACCGCTCTTCCAGGACGCTAGCCTCAAGGAAAGGAATCGGCACTTTGTCATCGGATTAAAAAAAAAAAGACGACTCACTGACAATCCAGTGAGAAAACATTACTGTTCATGTCCAATGACAAATGAACATCCAGATGGTCCAACCGATAATAAAACCCACCATTGTTATTCGGGGTTACTAAGACAATATTTCTACTACGAACCTTTCTCAGATTTTAGTTACTTAATACTGATTCTATAATATGAAGGCAACACGGACAATGTATAAGTTCGATGAATACACCGTATTTATTAAATTTCCACTGCCAGTTCAAAAGGACTAAAAGACCCAACAGAATTCATTATTGCCAGACTTGGTCATAACGGGTACTTTATAGTCGGGTATCGTGCAAGCTGATTCTTTATTCATTAAATAAATGCTCAGAAATTCTTTATTCATTAAATAAATGCTCAGAAATAAATCCTCAGAAATTTAAAACCATCGGGAAACAAGTCAAATTTTCACTGTTTTTACCTAAGTCTTTTATTAATGGCCTTAACTTAACAGGCTTGTGCAAATTAATTGAAACAAAACAATTTTCCTTTGCTTCTAAAATTCTCAATTTAGTTATATTTTCAGCATCTCTACTTTGATATTTCCAATGTGGAAATTCTCTCTCGATAACTTTTGTTATTTTCTGTTTTTCAGCATTTCTTAGATTCTTTCCATTAAGCATGTTTCAACATGTATTATGGAAAGAAAGAAAAACATATTTTTTATTATATTTCAGTAGCCTTAAAATAATATTAGTTTAATCTGTATGATTTCAGACGGAAGTTTTATAATAAATCCAATAAACTTTATTAAAACAATTGAAACGACCTAAAAATTTAACTCAAGCTTTGTGTCGATTAATTTTAATGATCAACTTCTCAAAATTACGAATAATCCTTCTCCGACGAGGAGGGAATTATGTCAGAAATTGTCCAAATTTAATTTCAGTTCACACAAACACACCCATATGAACAATCTGAGGCTAGGCGCAGATGCATGTCCATGCGTTCGGGCAAATATACATACGCAGTAGTAATTCTATTTCGGTGTCTGGACCTTAGCTTTTTTATGTGTAGCGATGTTCCTTTCAACAAAGAGCGGATAGGGGTGTTCTTAACCTTTTTCAAATCTACTGCCTATATATATATATATATATATATATATATATATATATATATAATGTTTTCATATTTTTCAAAACACGGTCAAGATATTTTGTCCATGTTCAGAGATGCTATTGTTTGAGTGTTTTTTTATTAATAAAGGCTTCGATATATATATATATATATATATATATATATATATATATATATATATATGTAAGACTTATTAATAAAACAAACAAAAACAAGAAATAGTTTGTTGCATGTATGTATTTATATAATGTTTTTAATTTTTTCAAAACACGGTCAAGATATTGTGTCCATGTTCATAGTTGGTATATATATATATATATATATATATATATATAAGACTTATTAATAAAAACAAAAAACAACACTCAACAATACCAACTATGAACATGGACACAATATCTTGACCGTGTTTTGAAAAAAAAAATGAAAACATTAT